TAATAATAATAATAATAATAATAATATTAATAATAATAATAATAATAATAATAATAATAATAATAATAATAATAATAATGCTAATGATGATAATGATAATAATAATATTAATAACGATAAGGATGATATAATAATAATAATAATAATAATAATAATAATAATAATAATAATAATAATAATAATAATAAATCGGTCTGAATAGACCGACCTTAATAATTCGGATCAAAGCTAATTAAAATAAAATGCATTCGAACACAGTCTAGATCAGACCGGTTGTAGCTCAGATCAAACCAAATCTAAAAGTAAGTGCGAAACTACGGGACAACCCGAACTGGTAATTTGGCAGACCGAAATCTAATTTGAACAAATTAAATTTAAAAAAAAAAACAAAAAGAGTTTGGGACGACCGCCCGAAGCCAAAAATTTTAATACTCAATTTGACTTCTACAGACCCAGAGGAGCTCTAGAAAGTTCCCTACTCATCATCCAATTCGCTACCCACTACTCGCAGCCCGCAAGCATAACCCGAGGTGAGTGAACTCGAGTTTAATTCGGAAGTCTATTGACATGGGGTTTGGGTTTGGAGTGTCCTATGATTAAATGACGTATGATTCATGCTTTGAGTGAAATAAGAATTTTTGGTGAATTACCCGTAGCAAATCATGTGTGTTTGTGCGAATTTGGTAGAAAAGATAAAATGTAAAATATACCGAAAATATGGGTCAGACCAGACCCCACGTAGTCTGGACCCAAAATAAAAACAAGGTAAGGGTAAAAACCACGGAACGAACTGAACTGATTTTTCCGGGCGGATCGGGACCAGGTAAGTCGTACCGGAGGTACAATACAGTAGTATGAATGAAAAGACTGAAAGAAAATATATAAAGAAATATAAAAGACTACGCAAGCGGAATTGCATGTATAGTAAATAAACTATATAAATGCATGTGATCGGGGTAGCTGGCATGGCACTAGCGTTAATTCGGAAGGGTTCGGATTAACGTTTAGCGCGTGATTGTAGAAATAGACGTTTGTGAATGATGGCACGATGGTTGCGAGATTGCGTCCCATCTACGGGCCATCTGATCTGGGTCGGATGTCACCCGTATGGGATATGATTGTGAATGTGGCGATGATATAATCGCGCCAACGTCCGAATGACAGGACGGTTATGGGCACCCCGATGACTTGCGTGGATAGCCGATTGGGGTCGGTACTATTGCGTGACGAGGAACACACGGTTTTTAGAACCGCGCCAACGTATCCGTTAGCGACGGAGCGGATTCCGGGAGATGAGTCTCCCGAGGATGAGGCAATACATATACCTGAGATTCGGGTGGATTGTGGTCCCCCGAGGAGGTGGTACGGACTTACTCTGCCAGGTTCGGGCCCGAACCTGACAAGTATTTCCGCGGCGGACGGTCGGCGAGGGAGAGTTGCAGCGATTGGCTCTCTCGTTATAGTCGACGGCGTCGGTTGTAGCCGACGTCAGGTGAACTCCGGTATTGAGAAGCGACATCAATGCCGGAGCGGGGACCCGCCTAGCATCGAGAGGTGCCATCGATGCTAGGGTGGGGTGTTGTGTTCGGGCGGAGAAAATAAAAAGATACTTATGCCGGATTCCGAGTGTGTGCGGAGTAGATGGAATCCGAGGAGAGAGGTGGTTGTGCTACGCACATGGGGAGTACATACCTACGCATGGTGCGCGTAGAGACGATTTGACGGACTCTGTCCTGCGACTTGTCGTACGGCCGACTTGTCGTACGGACTTGATTGTGATTGCTGCGTGCTTACAGTGATTCATGTTTTCAATTACTGTTTATTAGAATACTAGTATATACACACATATATATATATGCTTGTGTTTTCCCTGGCACCATGAGAATGGAACTCCGGGTTACGCCCGAGTTCACTTTCTAAGCAATTAGCTTAGGACGTTGTTACGCAACGTTTCAGGTCGTGAGCAGCAGTAGCCGAGGAGCGGACACCGGAGACCTGGGCAGCTTACCACTACTGATCATGTATAATTATGTATTTTTAATACATCTATATTCTGGGAAACAATTTGTTTTTATATCGGTGGTTGACTTTTAAGGTTTGTAATAATGTTATACTACCACTCGATTATGTATAATTATAACTGCGAATAATGTATCATATATGTATACGAGTGTTTCTTTCGCTAACTCTGAAAAGAAAAGTTTTAAATGCCCGCGGAAAAGTGGAAAAATGTTATTTTATTTTACTTGTCCATGTGACGTAACTCGTATTACGGGATACGGGTTTCGGGTGTCACAGTTTTTTTTTTCATTTTATTAGTGGGTAATGAATTTTTTACCACGATTTTTTGGTATATTTTTATTTTATTATTTATTTAGATATTTTGAGATGCCATATAATACCATATAAATTAAATTCTAAATAAAAAATGCCATATGAATGATGAGGTGGCTTCATGAAAAGCCTTCAAACACAATTTTTAATATATATAAATTTGTAAAAAACAATATTTGGTCAAAGTAACTGGAAATTTATTATCATTTATTCTTTCTTTCACTAATCGTTGACTTGACCCATTTTACGACACACAAGAAAAGAACTCACCAGAAACAAGTAAAGAACACAACGACGCATCGATTCTCACGCCAAACTTTCTTATGTTACCTTTAACTTAATATTATATTTTCATAATTTTCACAAAAAATATTTTCATAAACAAATATGATGATTATAATATATATATATAGGACATGACTCAAATAATATAATTCCAAACGTGGAAACAAAGTTTTCCATGTTCTTAAAACATTTCAACATATTACACATGGCGATTTATTCTTCGAATAGGTTAATATTTTTCTTTCATTTTTATGTATTAAATTTTTGTGTTGAAAATATATATGTATACAATATATATAAAGTTTACAACTGACTTTCAATCAATTACAGGTACATTGTACGACATAGAAAATTTAGTTTTTTTTTGTCTATGTAAGAATGTAAAAATAATGAGATGGAATTACAAGATCTGACTCCAATAATATATTTCATATTCAATATTTTTTTTAAAAAACTTAGCACATTACATATGTATTTTTTATTTGATTATATACTTTTTGTTTCATTTTTATTTATTTAATGTTCAATATTGAATGTGAATATATATATACACACGTTAAAAAATATTATTCGAGAAAAAAAAAAGAAAATTATTAGGGAGTATGGCTTTGAGAAATTGGGCCTGAGCCCACTTTTCCATTAACCATAACGATGAATATATAAAATAAATTCCCCATTTTAAATTATTTACTTTCCTCGCTGAAAATTACGTCTCTCTCTGTTTATTCTTTCTTCGTCTCCGTCTTCCTCCTTTTCTTCTTCTTCTTCTTCTTCTTCTTCTCTCTCGCGGTCTGACATTTCTTAGATTCCGCCAATGGCTTCCGCTGGAAATTCGGACTCCACCTCAGCGGCGGACAAGCTCTTCTTCTGCTATCAGTGCAATCGCACCGTCACCGTCTCCATTTCTTCATCCACTGACCCTTTTTGCCCTCTCTGCAACGACGGTTTCCTCGAAGAATACGAGGACCCTAACCCTAATCCGAGCCCCAATCTTAACCCTAGCGGGGTTTTCCCGTTCTCTGATCCTCTATCGTCTCTCCTCCCGATCTTATTCGCGCCCTCGGCGTCGCCTTCTTCCAACGTAATCGATTTCTTCAACCCGAGCATCTTCGGTCAACCGATGCCGGGACGGTCCACGCAGCCTGACCCCATCGCTTTCGACCCTGTTACATTTCTTCAAAACCATCTTCAGAGCTTGCGTTCGAGCGGTACTCACGTTCAGTTCGTGATCGAGAACCACCCTTCGGATCCTGAGTTCCGGTTACCGGGAAATCTCGGGGACTACTTCTTTGGTCCGGGTCTTGAGCAGTTGATTCAACAGCTTGCGGAGAATGATCCGAATCGATACGGGACTCCTCCGGCCTCGAAATCTGCCATAGATGCGCTCCCAACGGTGAAGGTAACGGAAGACTTGTTAAATTCGGAGATGAACCAGTGCGCTGTCTGTATGGATGAATTCGAGAAGGGTAGTGACGCGAAGCAGATGCCTTGCAAGCATGTATATCATCAACATTGCTTGCTTCCATGGCTGCAATTGCACAACTCTTGCCCTGTTTGTCGGTATGAGTTACCTACAGATGACCCTGATTATGAGAACATGAATCATGGAGCTCAGAGAAGCGGTGACGGACAAGGAACGGGCGAGAACCAGACGACACCTAGGAGGTTTAGTATATCGTTGCCGTGGCCATTCAGGCGACAAGATGGAGGCTCGGGCTCAGGTTCTGTGTCGGGTGCGCCTGGAAATGTTGGTGGTGGAGCTAATTTGGAGACTAGACAAGAAGATTTGGATTGAGGTTTGTCATGCACACTTTATCTTTGTGTCTCAGCTTTGGGTCCTCTCAAATATTGAATTTTTTGTTTGTTACCTGTCCTGTGCTCGAACGGATTACTTGCTAGTTTTCAGACAATTGGGCGTTCCTGTGAGCTTTGAGAATGTGAAAATGGCAGAGAGATTGTAGTAAGTTGGTCACTAATGCGATACTGAGGTTATGTGAAGCCATGGTAGCAGTTCATAGTAGGGCTAGAGTTTGAAGATATGTTCATGTAGCTTGTTCTTTTGCAAAATCCTATTGTTCCCAAATGCAATATAGACATCGGTCTCGGCAATGATTGTATGTGGTCCTTGGACGGGGATGTTCAATTATCATTGAGAGCTGTCGATGTTTTTGTAGAAAACTTGGTGCTCGCAAATGCATTATAGACATCGGTGTCGGTGATGATTGTATATGGTCCCTGGAAGAGGATGTTCAAGGATTATTGATTGTATATGGTCCTTGGGATTCAGGCAATGTTAGCATCTAAACTTGGTGCTGGTGCAACAATTTTCTGGTCTGTGATATTGGTTACTTAGGAGTCTGATAAACCTTTTAGAGCATACGTGAGGAGGGCTCCAAGAGGAGGAGGGGTAGAAATGGAAGAAGCTGTTATGGAGAGAGAGACTGGAGAAGAAGCACGAATAACGGGAGGTGCAGAGGAAGTTGGGAAAACCACAGGGAATTGACGCGTGTGATTCCTGAGGTTCTTATGGGATATATATATATACTAGGCTGCTTGTATAGGTTGGTAAGACCAGCTCATTGGTGTTAATGATGGGATATATATATCGTTTTTCCTTTTCCGTTTGGGGTATCAGAAAATTGAGAGAAGTATTGAGGTGGGTAGAGTTTTTGATCTCTGTAATGGGGAAAAACTCTGTATTGTTCTTGGTTTATTAAGAAATACAAGCAGTTTATTATCTAATTCCTTATCATTTGGTATCAGAGCACCATCGATTCAGCATGCCGCCAAAAGACAAAGATCATAAGGTCGAACGTCTAGAGGAGGCCATGAATATCAAGATGGGTCACTTTGAATCTCGCATCACCGATGTGCACTCCAGTGTTGCGTCGATTCAGAGGGATGTTGCTACCATGATGGAAAAGATGATGGCGATGATGGAATCGCAGCGTGCTCCAGGCCCCTCGCTACCTCCTGTGGCAGTCTTAGGTGAGATTTCTTCTGCTTCCCAGTCGAATCTTCACAGGGAAGGGAAGGCTCCACTCCTGGATACCCAGATGCTGCCGACGGTGACGGAAATCATTGATGCGCCGTTACCACCGGACACACCACGGGGTGAAGCAAACTGCGCTCAGTTCATCGCGGGTGCGGATCTGACTTACCGGAAAATCGAAATGCCAGTCTTCGAGGGATCCAACGTGGCGGGTTGGGTTGCAAGGGCTGAACGTTATTTTCGGCTGGGTCATGTTGCGCCGGCGGAGTGGCTCAATCTCGCCTCCCTGAGCATTGACGGCGAGGTACTCCACTGGTATGATTGGCAGTGTGGAAATCGGCCGTTTACGGATTGGTCGGATTTCAAACAACGCCTGTTACGCCGTTTTGATTATCGTCTGATGGGTTCTGTCGGTGCCCGACTGTTCTCCCTTCACCAACAATCCTCGGTGCTTGAATATCTTCGCGGATTTGAAGAACTCCTCGCCCAGCTGGTTGGCGTCCCAGAGTTTGTGTTAGAGTGCGGCTTCAAGAACGGGTTACGAGCGGATCTCCGAAATGGTATTGAGGTTCTGAATCCTCTGGGTCTTGAGGCTACGATCGAGCTAGCGTTTCGTTTGGAGCGGACTAGCTACAACATGGCGACCGAGCTGTCGAAATCCTCTGATCACCGGTCTTCGAAGCAGTCGCCAGGAGCGGTGGGGAACGCTTTCCGGACTGTGTCGATTCCCACAGGTGGGGTCGGTGGTCATCCTCGTGGACCCAGGGATCGCCGCCACGAGTCGTTGGGCTTGCCTGCTTTAGGCCCATTACCTGGGGCCCAAGTGGAGCCCACTTTTATTCCTCCTAAGGGCACGTTTCGAAAGATTTCTGATACAGAAATGGAGGACCGCCGAAAGCGAGGACTGTGTTTCCGTTGTGACGAAAAATACTTTTTTGGTCACAAGTGCAAACTCAAGGAGCTTCAAGTTATCGTGGTCCAAGAGGACGGCGAGACACTGTTGGCCGCCGATGCTCACCCAGACCCCGTTCCGGAGGAGCCGCCGGTTGCGCCGGAAATTGCTGAGTTATCTCTCAACTTCGTCGTTGGTCTGACATCGCCAAAGACGCTGAAGCTTCAAGGATCCATTTCGAAGCTACCTGTGATTGTTATGGTGGATAGTGGAGCCACACATAATTTCATTTCTTGGGAGGTGATACGAAAACTTCGCATTTGTCCGGAGACCACCACTGGCTATGGAGTCTCGCTGGGTACAGGTCTGACAGTTCAAGGTGACGGTATTTGCAAAGGCTTGTCTCTCATTGTCCAAGATTTCACATTGGTGGCTGATTTCCTTCCACTGAAGTTGGGGAGTGCCGATGTGATACTGGGGATTCAGTGGTTGAGGACATTGGGAAGGATTTTGGTAGATTTCGACAAATTGGAACTTCGTTTCGGTGCCCCAGGACATCAGGTTATTCTCCGAGGCAATCCTAACCTGCACTCGTCTTTGGTCACGTTCAAGTCTCTATCAAAATCGGTGCTCAAGGGAGAGGACAGCTACCTGATCGAGATGGGGGTGGTGACGAGTGAGTCGGAGTTTCCAATTGCAGCACCGCCGGAGTTTCGGTCTGTTCTCGACAGATTCGTCTCTGTTTTTCAAGCTCCTTCAGGTTTACCACCAGAGCGCACTAAGGACCATCCGATTCAGTTGCTACCAGGGGCGGGTCCAATTTCAGTTCGCCCGTATCGTTATCCCCATGCCCACAAGGAAGAAATAGAGAAGCTAGTACGGGAAATGCTGCAAGCAGGGATTATCCAACCCAGCCATAGTCCGTTCTCCAGTCCAGTCTTGCTGGTGAAAAAGAAAGATGGGAGCTGGAGGTTCTGTGTTGACTATTGCGCCCTCAATCGGGTTACGGTCCCCGACAAATTTCCAATCCCGATGATAGATCAGCTGCTCGACGAATTGTTCGGAGCTGTGATATTTTTAGGGGTGTAAAATGGGCGGGTCGGGCCGGGTTCGGGCTGGGTTCAATTCGGGCCTAGAATTTTTCGGACCGGGCCAGCCCGCCCATTTATTTTTCGGGTCTAGGATCGATGGCCCGGAGCCCGGCCCTACAGGGCTTCGGGCGGGTTCGGGCCGGGCTTCGGGCTTTTTATTAAATAAAAATATTTTTTTGCGATGATAATAATAATAATAATAATAATAATAATAATAATAATAATAATAATTATATGAAACATTCAACAAAAATATTTTTAAAACCGATAACAACAAAGTCATTTAGTTCACAAATAAAAATAAAATTTCAAAAATTATCCAATTGTTCAATTCTCCAACACCACAACATGCGATTAAAAACTTTTAAACGTGATAAAAAAAAATAACAAACATAATATAAAAAGAAATTCTATGATGAAATTAACCTATAGAAAAAAAATCAATATGTTCATATACAAACAAAGGTTTAAAAATATATATATTTGAAAACTTCTATCCTTTCTAAAATGTAAACTTATATATATATGATATAATATGGTTAAGAAATTCAAAACTCCCATCACTTTAAAAAGTTTAATTGGAACCAAGATATAAAAGTTCATCATTTGGTTCAAATATATATATATATATATATATATTTAGACACACATATTTATAAGTATAGAAGGTAAAACTTTGGTTTAGAAAAGAAGGTTAGAAAAAACAAAAAAAAAATTAACGGGCCTCAAGCCCGGCCCGAGACCCGACTGGCCCGACCCGACCGGCCCGTAGCCCATTTGGCCCGAGGCCCGAAAGCCCAAAGTTTAATGAGCCTACATTTTTTAGGCCCATATCCTTATAATTTTCGGGCGGGCTCGGACCGGGTTTCGGGCTCCGGGCTTAATTGACATCCCTAGATATTTTCCAAGCTGGATTTACGGTCCGGGTATCACCAGATCCGGATGCGGCCCGAAGACGTTCCAAAAACAGCGTTTAGGACTCACGACGGCCATTACGAGTTTTTGGTGATGCCATTTGGCCTGACAAACGCCCCTGCGACGTTCCAATCCATGATGAATGATGTCTTCCACACTTTCTTGCGCAAGTTCGTGTTGGTCTTCTTTGACGACATCTTGATTTACAGCAAGTCTGTAATAGATCACGTTGCTCACTTACAGCAAGTGTTGGAGGTATTAGAGAAGCACCAAGTCTTCGCTAACGGGAAGAAATGTCAATTCGGGAGATCGCACATCGAATATTTGGGCCACGTTATCTCTCGGGAGGGGGTTTCGACTGATCCGAGTAAGACGGCAGCTATGCGACAATGGCCCAGACCTTCTTCAATCAGGGAACTCCGCGGATTTCTAGGTCTTACCGGGTATTACCGTCGGTTCGTGCGCAACTATGGGGTCATTGCTCGGCCATTGACGGTTTTACTCAAGAGAGATAATTTTGCTTGGTCGGAGATAGCTACGCAAGCCTTTGAGAATCTGAAGTCTGCAATGCTATCGGTTCCAGTCCTTATTCTTCCGGATTTTAATGACACCTTTGTGGTTGAATCGGATGCATCGGGGTTCGGAGTGGGAGCGGTGCTCATGCAGAAACGCCGCCCAGTGGCTTACTACAACAGGGGATTAACGGCTCGAGAACAGCTGAAGCCGATTTATGAGCGGGAGTTGATGGCGGTCGTTCTGGCCATACAACGCTGGAGGCATTACCTGCTAGGGAGGCGTTTTGTGGTTCACACGGATCAAAGAGCCTTGAAGTTCTTGCTGGAGCAAAGGGAGGTTAATTTGGAGTATCAAAAATGGCTATCTAAACTATTGGGCTATGACTTTGATATTGTCTACAAACCTGGTATTGAGAACAAAGCTGCAGACGGCCTGTCCCGCATTGTTCAACCTGCTGCAGAGTCGGCTGCTGCAATTCTATTTGCTCTAACAGTACCGAGTTCACTCCAGCTAGAGGATATTCGCAGGAAAGTCGAAGCTGACCCGGTTCTGTTGAGTATCAAGGACAAGCTATGTTCTCAGGTCGCGGCGCCAATGGCTATCACATCCGCCAGGGGATTCTCTTATATAAGGATCGGTATGTTCTGCCTCGTTCTTCATCATTTATTCCAGTGATTTTACAGGAATATCATGATGGACCAATGGGGGGCCACTCGGGAGTGTTGAAAACACTCAAGCGAATACAGTCGGTTTTCTATTGGGAAGGTATGAAGTCGGTGATTCAGCTGTATGTTGCTCGTTGCTTAACCTGTCAGCAGCAAAAATACTCTACTTTAGCTCCTGCGGGTTTATTGCAACCGTTGCCAGTTCCGGACAAAATTTGGGAGGAGTTATCAATGGATTTTATTGAAGGGTTACCGCGATCCTCGGGGTTTGATGTGATCCTGGTGGTGATTGACAGGCTGTCAAAATATGGTCACTTTATTGCGCTGAGGCATCCTTTTACTGCAGTGGATATAGCTCGACTCTTCACCCAAGAAGTGGTCCGTCTCCATGGGTTTCCGAAGTCCATTGTTTCTGATCGGGATCAAATTTTTCTCAGCAACTTTTGGAAGGAGCTATTTCGACTGGCGGGGACTAAGCTCAAATTCAGCACTTCGTTTCACCCACAAACTGATGGTCAGTCAGAGGTCGTCAATCGTTGCTTGGAGACTTATCTCCGCTGCTATGCTTCCACACATCCGAGGCGTTGGTCGAAGTATCTGGCGTGGGCTGAACTGTGGTATAACTCCTCTTTTCATACGTCGCTCGGTACCACTCCGTTCCATGCGGTCTATGGACGCGATCCGCCTGCCCTGCTACGTTTCGAACACGGTTCTACGACTAATTTTGAGCTGGAACGGGAGTTGAGAGACAGGGATGCGATGCTTGATGAGCTGAAGCAGAATTTATTCAGAGCTCAGCAACGTATGAAGACTCTGGCTGATTCTTCTCGTCGGGAGGTAACTTTTCAGGTGGGTGATTGGGTTTTTCTGAAGTTACAGCCTTTCCGGCAGCGTTCCATCGCACGGCGCCCATTTCAGAAACTGGCAGCCCGTTATTATGGACCTTTCGAGATTATTGGGCGGGTTGGAACAGTGGCCTACCGTCTTCAGTTGCCTCCGGATGCTCGTATACACCCTGTATTTCACGTGTCGCAGTTGAAGAAAGCAATAGGAACATCTGCAGAGCCTACCCCTCTTCCACCTCAGCTGACGGCGGACTTGGAGTTGGCAGTGGAACCTCTCAACTTGCTGGAGAGTCGTTATTCGAAACAAGGCCTGCTGGAGGTCCTTATCGAATGGAGCGGCATTCCCCGACATGACGCCACTTGGGAGCTCGCGGAGGAGTTTGTGGGACAGTATCCTCTCTTTAAGCTTGAGGACAAGCTTCGTCTTCAGGGGCGGGGTATTGATAAACCTTTTAGAGCATACGTGAGGAGGGCTCCAAGAGGAGGAGGGGTAGAAATGGAAGAAGCTGTTATGGAGAGAGACTGGAGAAGAAGCATGAATAACGGGAGGTGCAGAGGAAGTTGGGAAAACCACAGGGAATTGACGCGTGTGATTCCTGAGGTTGTTATGGGATATATATATATACTAGGCTGCTTGTATAGGTTGCTAAGACCAGCTCATTGGTGTTAATGATGGGCTATATATATCGTTTTTCCTTTTCCGTTTGGGGTATCAGAAAATTGAGAGAAGTATTGAGGTGGGTAGAGTTTTTGATCTCTGTAATGGGGAAAAACTCTGTATTGTTCTTGGTTTATTAAGAAATACAAGCAGTTTATTATCTAATTCCTTATCAGAGTCACATCATAGATTATGGCATAAATGCAAACTTTCCTTTCTTGTTCTATTTCATCATGTCTCTGTAAAATATCACTCCTTGCTTATGAAACTAGACTAGAAAGATGATTCTTGAAACTTATTTAGAATTGGAGGGGTGGCGTATAGAGTCATTGCCCACGGTGTTTTACTCCAATAACATATCTTTAGTTCAAGAACGAATCTCTTTAATTCAGCGTAGCATAATGATTGATGGTTAATGTTGCAAGAACATCTCCTTAGTTCGATACAAAAGCTTCTCTTTCTCTGTGATGCAAGAGAGTGCTTATGGCACGACTCTTATTCTGACTCATCTAAGAACTTCACCAGTTTTTTTATGCTTCTTCGAATTCGATGCCGGGCTTGGTTATTGGCATTGTTGCTTTTTATAGACCTGTGAAAAGGATCTATTAATTAAAGTTAAGTAATTCTTACTGATGCTTAACATGTCATTGTGATTTTCACAGGACATGATCCATGAGTTGAAACGAAGAATAAGCTGCTGTTAATGTTGTTAGATACATTTTTGTTGAAGTATATGAGTGCATGATATTTGATAGCATCTTCTCCTTAAATTGTAGTTATTTGGATGAAATTTGTTGGACATGGTCTTGGGATCCTCATTGTGCAATACTGAGTGGGAACCTGTTGGCATTCTTTTCTGATAGTTGCGTTTTTTCATCAGATTTGTTGTTCCGCGTTTTAGTGCATACTATCTAAGTAGAAAACTGCAACCTACTTTGCATTAAATGTGTGTGTTTGATTGCATCTTTCTTTCACCCGCAATTTTCGGGTACGAAGCCAATGCTATTTTGCCCCTTTGCCTCTTTAATCCTATCTACGGTAAACCAGTCCGTGCTTATTCAGTCATCACATCTCTTGCATGTTTTGGTGTCTGATAGACTCCAAATTGATAGGGTTTTATTATTTTGGACTTTTGTTTTCAATTGGGTTAACGTATTTTTGTATTCGAGGAGAGAAGTTCGAAAATAAGTGGGTCTAGGGCTCGGTAGGGGTTACATACTGTTTGAATCCCACTTCGTTGTCTTTGGCGGCAGCATTCTCCACACAAGGAGAGCTTGCAAGTTCAATAAAGGCATCGGAAACGTTGATCAGAGTTGGAGATTGAACAGGTTTTGAATATCGTTCGGGGATCCCCAGACTCTGTAAGTTTGGGAAAAATACTTCGTTAGATCCTTAGGATCTATCTATCAGTCTCATATAAAGCAGTCTCAGTTACAGTTATGCGTCACGTTTTGCTTACTGTTCAGTTACCATTGGTCTCAAGCCGGATTCAGAATGACCGTTTTAAGCTTTCTTAGGTATGCCTTATTGATTGGATCCAGTTTCTAGCACAAGTTATTTGATCGTAGCTTAGAGAAAACGGCATTTGATGCTCTCATTCTGTAAATAGCTTCCACGGGGGAACGAGCTTTTTCGTTGATATTTCACATTTGCTGCTCTCATTTTGGTGCAGTGTTGATACAATAACGGAAGAAGAAGAAGAAGAAGAAGAAGAAGAAGAAGAAGAAGAAGAAGAAGAAGAAGAAGAAGAAGAAGAAGAAGAAGAAGAAGAAGAAGAAGAAGAAGAAGAAGAAGAAGAAGAAGAAGAAGAAGAAGAAGAAGAAGAAGAAGAAGAAGAAGAAGAAGAAGAAGAAGAAGAAGAAGAAGAAGAAGAAGAAGAAGAAGAAGAAGAAGAAGAAGAAGAAGAAGAAGAAGAAGAAGAAGAAGAAGAAGAAGAAGAAGAAGAAGAAGAAGAAGAAGAAGAAGATCACAAAGGCAGAAACTTGAACAAAAGTCCATTTCCATACATGTATCTTTCTTTTATCCCAAGAAAATTTTATGTTTGCATTAGCCAAGGCCTTACCACCATATCTTGTACATCTAAAAGTGAAATGTTTTTTATTCCTTTCTTGGATATACAAGTTGAGAGCTTGAATTTGCAATTTTCTTTTGTACTGAGGATTTTCGATGATCAACTTTGTATCCCTAGTCACTTTTGTATGCATATATATACCAAGTATGATTACAGATTAATTCTCAAAAGAATTCAAATTCATTATAATATGAATCCTAAAATCCAAAAGATTCATATTAAGCTTCATATGCCCGATCCATGTCAACCTGTGGTTTTAGTAACACTGGAACCTGAAGCGCGTTGCAAAGCTTCAACCCAATAAGAGAGGCCATAAATGTGATCCCAAGAGAATACGTGGAAAGGAGACTTTTGTGGGCATTGTTATTATTCCAATGATGAATGAAAATATATTCTTACTTATTGTGAAACTCATTTGGTATCATTTCAACTGAGAACATAGAAAATTATTACATCCTTCAAAACATATATTTCTGTTTCAAAGGAGTGAAAAAACTTAGCAAACCTCCTTAGCGGCCGCAATGACTCCATCAACAGTCAGTCCAAACTCCTTGTACAGCACATTCGCTGGCGCACTGGCCCCGAACCTGTCAATTCCTATGGATTTCCCTTTCGAACCGACGATCTTTTCCCACCCAAAGGTCGAACCAGCTTCTATGCTTACCCTCGCTGAGACGGCACGAGGCAGAATGCTTTCCTTGTACTCTTCCGACTGCTCATCGAATAGTTCCCAACTCACCAGAGACACAACTCTTACCGCCTTTCCTTCTTTCCTGAGTTGCTCTGCAGCTTTAGCAGCGATTTCCAGCTCTGACCCTGTTCCAATGAGGATAACATCGGGGTATTTCCCAGTGGAATTGTCTGAAACAACATACCCGCCCTTTTGGACAGCCTCAATGGATGTTCCGGGCAGTTGAGGCAGCTTTTGTCTGGATAGAGCCAGGATAGAAGGTCGCTTTCTGTTTAGTATGGCGACTCTGTAAGCGCCAGAGGTTTCATTCCCGTCAGCTGGTCTGAGCATCAGGATGTTGGGCATGGCACGGAAGCTAGCCAAGTGTTCGATAGGCTGGTGGGTCGGTCCATCTTCGCCAAGACCGATTGAATCATGGGTCATAACGTATATAACTCCGGTCTGAGACAAGGCAGATAGCCTGATGGCTGCTCTCATGTAGTCTGTGAAGACAAAGAAAGTAGCACAGTAAGGAATGATCCCGGGGCTGTGACAGGTAATGCCATTGCAGATGGCTCCCATGCCGTGTTCTCTGACACCAAATCTAAGGTTCCTCTCTTCGGGTGTGTCCTTTTGAAAGTTACCGAACATCTTGAGCAATGTCATGTTGGATGAAGCAAGGTCAGCGCTGCCACCGAGGAACCCAGGGAGAACCTTTGCAAGGGCATTGAGACACTGCTGGGAAAGGTTTCTAGTTGCGTCTCCGGGGTTCTCAGGCGTGAAAGTCTGTGAAAGAAGAGAACTGAACGTATTAATCAATGAGCACTTAGAAACATATGGAGCTTTTGCTGCCTATGCCATTGGGTTTTTCGCTTACCGGTAATGCCTTTTCCCATCCAGCAGGAAACTGACCAGTGATGATGGATTTCAGTTCTGCAGCTTCTTGTGGGTATTCCCTCTCATACTCAGCAAACTTGGAATTCCATTCGGCTTCTAGATTAGATCCTTCAGAGATATGACGACTCCAATGGCTGCAAAATTACAGTAGGAGCGTTTAAAATTTATTTGATCTTCAGTCTAGTAGCAGGTTAAGAGAAATCTATGCAAACCGAAACAACTGACCTTTTGACATCCTCGGGTACATGGAAAGGCTCATATGGCCATCCGAGATTCTTTCGAGTAGCATCAACTTCCTTTTCACCTAATGCGCTTCCATGTACACTGTAAGAGTTTGCTTTGTTCGGTGACCCAAAACCAATGGTTGTTGTTATCTGCCCATTTGATAGAATTCAAACCAGAAATCCCGTTTAGGGAACCATGTTTCAAGAGTGAAGTGAACAAACATCAAGAACCAGTTCTCTTGTAGAACAAACATCAAGAATCAGGTTTCAAGAGTTAGAGAATACACAAACTACAACACCAACGAATTTTCATTTCCAAAAGCAGGAAGAAACTCTCATTGGCCTAAGAACATGATGACTCACCTTGATCAAAGTGGGTTTGTCTTTAACAGCCTTGGCTTCCTTAATGGCAGCACGGATTTCATCATAACCCGTGTTTCCATTCTTAACCCAAATGACATGCCAGCCAAGACCCTCGAAACGCCTCTCCACACTCTCGGTAAAGGCAATCTCCGTGTCACCATCAATCGAAATGTGGTTGTCATCATACAAAGCTATGAGCTTCCCCAGTCCCCAATGCCCGGCAAGAGAACAAGCTTCATTGGCAATTCCTTCCATTTGACACCCATCTCCGAGGATCGCGTACCTACAGAAAGTCCATGTCAGATTCCATCAAGCAACATAGGACGAGGCATTTATATTACACTAAGCTAGAAATGCAAAAGACTCCAAACATTCATGAGCATAAAAATGTATCGTACGTGTAATGGTCGACAATTTCATTGTCCGGCTTGTTGAATCTAGCAGCCAAATGCTTCTCCGCAAGTGCCAAACCCACTGCATTTGCAATGCCCTGCCCAAGAGGACCTATCCACAGAGAAAACCATATAATTGAACAACCAAAACTACTAATCAATATTACAAACACAAAGGGAGACAATGGAAAAAAATCTTTCAAAGCCAAGAATCAAACCAGTGGTGACTTCAACACCCGGAGTTTCAAAATTCTCGGGATGTCCCGGTGTCCTACTTCCCCACTGCCTGAAATTCTTCAAATCTTCTTCCTAACAAAAACCCGAGCCACAAACACAATTTGCAACCAAACCATATTAATCTTCATCAAGCATTAGAACAAAGTAGCAAGGTACAGACATTCATAATATGATGCTAACATTCATTTTCAGGACCAGCCACACTAAAACCCTCGCAAAATCATTCGTTTGCAACTTCAGGCATCCAAATTCCGGTGAACAACGCATAGATCCAATACCAAACCGGTGAAACCGTAAAGCCCAGAAACAGAAACATATTCAAACGACGAAAAACCAAATAAGATGAAGAGATGATACCATAAACCATACGACCAAGTAACAGAGAGACCGAATGATTCAAAAACCAGAGAAAGTGGAAGAGAGATCACACCTTGACGCTGTCGTAGCCAGCGAGATGAAGCAAGGCGTACTGAAGCATGCAACCATGACCAGCGGACAAAACGAAGCGATCGCGATTGAACCAGTACGGATTCTTCGGGTTGTACCTCATAACTTCATCGTACAAGATGTGCCCCATCGGAGCACAACCCATAGGAAGACCCGGGTGACCCGATTTCGCCTTCTCCACCGCATCGATCGCCAGAAACCTGATCGTGTTCACCGATTTCTCCACCAGAGAAGCATCGGTCGTCACATCGACCGTCTTCGCAGCTGAGGCGCGAACGGAAGCAATGACCGGACGGTGCTTGGGAACGTGGCGGAGTACGACAGCGCGTGTAGAGGCTCTGAGACCGGAGAAGGAGGGGAAATCGCATGCGGAGAGGGAGACGCGGTGGTCCGTGAGCCGAGTTGAGCCATGTTTCAAAGAGGCACGAACAAGGAGAGCCTGAGACAAGGTCGAAGACGAGGTAGACGCCATTGTCGTCGTCGTTCTCGAGGAGCTTGAGCTTCTGTTGTATTTAATACTTTCTCGGTTGAAGCACTTGTTGTTGACTATAAATGCTTATGTATTGGAGCATGAAATCTCCACCGTTGGATATGAGTTTTCTTTTATTTTCTGTTCATTTCCCTTTAAACCGCTGGAATAAGACCTTAATTTATTAATATTAAATAATAATTAAAAAAAAGTGACTTGTTTTTGTTATTGTTTATGATTTAATATTAAAAATATCGAAAATACAATATGGCCACGTCATAGCTTGTAAGTGTAGAAGAAATAGCAGCTAGGAGTCGTTAAGATGCTAAATTCAAGGTAGCGTTTTTTCATATAAAATAATCCAAAGTGGGTAGGTGCAACAACTTCTTAAACGGTGTCGTTTCAATCGGCAGGTAGTAGATCCAAACGACGTCGCTTTCGACCTTCTCAGTTGCAAAGGAATGATTACGGCATATGAGATTATGGACAATTTGGTTCGGGGCTATGACAGAGATATGTTTCGCTTGGAAGTTTTTGTATGGGTTCAATTTTTTTTATGTCATTTCCATAATATAAAATAGAAATCTTTGTCTAAATGGATCAAAATCATTTACTCGTATCTTATTTATTTCGGTTAGAGATTATTTGAAAATGTGTTAAAATGGATTGAATCGCGAGTTAGTTCATATTTGATTGAGATAGATTCAAAAATGGGTTGAATAAACTAAAAGAATATATATATTTTTTAATTTTGAATATTTTTAATATTTAAATTGTATTTTTAGTTAAGTTTTGATTTGTAAACCGATTTATTTGACTTGTGATCTAAGACAAACCCGGTTAAGCTAAATATTTTTTACTTGCAAAAAACAAGTCATATTGTGTTAAGCTAAAAAAATTATGAGAAAACGAGGCGGATTGGTTAGGTTAGGCTGAATCAACCCCATTTACAGTCTAATTTGAATTGATATTTTTTGTATACACAAAAAAAACATGGATATTATATAAATGATATGGGTGGAGGTATATTGGATATCATAAAATGTAAAGATATTTGAATTTGGAAACCGAATAGATTATTTTTTTAGATAATTGAATGTATTGAGGTGAAATCCAAACTAATCTCGTAGCTACTAGCAATTTTCAATGCATTTTATGTCCAGACGTGGTGATCCGGTGGTGTGGGAGCATAAAGTGCTCTCTCGTACCCGCGTTCGAATCTCATATAGACAATCACAAATATTTAAAAAAAAACTTTCAATGCATTTTTCCTCTTATCTTAGTGTTGTTACCTGCCATTATAATCCAAAGGCCATTAAATAATAATTGTTATTTTTTTTAACAGAAATATGCCATGCTTCTTTTCCTGTTTTTCTTCATTTAAACTTTGCCAAGGCTAAAGATTTGGTGGAAATGAGCAACTAAACTGAATCTCTCTCTATAAACAATGTATAAATTGGTAAAGTGAAACAGTATATTAGTTAATTTATATAGTGAATTAACATATTAGTACAAAGATTAAAAAATGCCATAAACATACCCTTTTAACAAAATTCAATGTTGAATCATCAAATATTATTAGGAGTGGTCATTTCAAATTTCGATTCGGTTATATTTGGATTCAGTTATTTTGATTATAAGAAAATGATAACAATTTAGTTTTTACATCAATTTCAGTTCAATTCAATTTGAATTCAAATTTTTATCAATAAAAATTCATTTTTCAAAACAAATTTAAAAATATTACAATCGTTCAATTTTTATGTCCTATTTCGGTTTTATTACAATTATATTTTATTCGGTTCAGTTCGATTATTTGATTTCGATGAATAGCCAATACCATCACTCCTAATCACCACTGCATGGTCTTTCCGGATCCAATTTTATTGCGGTCTCGAATTACAAACCGAGTAAAAACAAATAAGATCCGGTTTGGATTTTATTATATAACCTAAAGAAAAAGAAAACCTTGCCCTTCAAAAGAAAGCAAAGCAAAACAAACACGAGAACAAGAAAACAAAGAACTGAAACAAAGAAAAACTCAACATCGAATCGAATCCAACAAAATGATGAAAGGGCCGAAAAGGACGAATGATTCTAATTGGATATTTTGGCGGTTAACTCTCGAACAAGCTTAGCAGCGACCATAGCAGTCATGCCATCGACAGTATCGCGTTGAGGGTTGAACTCAACAACATCAGCTGCAACCACATCGCCCTGCACGTTGTGCAGAATGTTGAGGACGTCGCGGAAGGAGAGACCTCCGGGTTCGATGTGGGACACTCCGGGGGCAAAGGCCGGGTCCAGACTGTCCAGGTCGATCGAGATGTACACTCCTTTAACCCCTTCCCCGAGTTTCTGTTTCAAAAACAAATACGTACGAGTCGGTTATACCCCAGCTGTTAGCTTCGAATGCAAGTAGTTGCGTCTAATGACAAGGGGTGGGCATGGAAACCCGAATTTTGGATACCCATTGACCCGCAAGTCGGGTATCCGAAAGTCTGGATACTCATCCAGTGGTCCATCAATGGCAAGAACCCGAATTTCAGGTTCGGATTTCGACTGGTGGGCATCAGTACTATGAGTAACCCGAACCGAGGGGAAGATGGGGTGGTACTGGTACATAGGGCAATGGGGAATGGTGTGACGAAGAGAGGCGAGGGTTAAGCCGTGTCGACAGTCTTGTGTTGTGGCTGAGGCGAGAACCAAGAAAGCTGAGGGGCGAGGCAATCTAAAATCAGAAGGTCCTACTTAGGCTTGTTTTTTAGAATCAGAATGTAGGGCACGGTTAGGGAGATGACGATCTAGGAATTTTGCCTCACCGCTTACCCTCGTCTCATCTTGCCGTTCGCCCCTCAAACCATATATCTATCTCTCTCCTCAACCTCCTTGGACGCCCGCCTTGAATCTCTTTCCTTGGCTCGGTACCCTGCCCCCTAGTTTCACCCCCTTAGTACCCCTGTGGAAATCCGAACCCTCGGCGCATCCCACGGATGCATGAAGCTCGAGTACCCAACCCACACGAGGTCGAGATCAGGTAGTCCAACCGAAAACCTGAGGGGAACGAGGTCAAGGTTGGATAGCAAAAAAACCGGGTAACCAACCCGTGCCGACCCCTATCTATGTATCGATGTAGAGAGAGTGGGATGACCAGATTTTCCAAGAATTCGCGATCCCTTGAAAACGTCCGCATTTCGTATTGTTCCACTCCAAACCTCTTGCCTTGTTCCCGTCCTTCGCTGGTTATGGATCTAATTCCCACCTGCAAAAAAATCAGCAATTTGATTTGAATACTTTCTAAATGTAAGATCAGTTCACTCTCCCTTTTCTTAGATCTTTATATATAATTTGGCACAAAGAAATCGGACCGACCTGCAAAAGACGCCGAGCATATCCGCCTTCCATGATACGAGCGAAGGAAGAGGCATGAGAATATTTGTTTCCTTCGAAACAGTCATAGATATCAGGATGGGCATCTAAGTGAAGGATATCCACTTGCCCTCCGAGCTTCTCAGAAACAGCTCTTACAGCTGGATACGATATGGAATGGTCGCCTCCTAATACCAATGGGCGCAATGGATCCTGGAATAAAAAGCCGAGGAAAACGTTAGTGCTTGAGCTCGATCTTAATAGAGTCTCTCGTCAAACGAGATCCCAAGACAAAAATAGTATGATTAATGACCATATGTGATCAACCCAATATGCAAATAGGAATGGAATCTAAGAAAGCTACAGAAAAACACATTTGGAATCAACTAGTTTGAATTCCTTTTAAAGCTAAGTACACCAAGAAACCCAAGGAAGCCTCGGGTATCTGGTAATACAGCAGTTCCTAAACATCAAAGATAATCTTGACAAGTTCATGAGATTCTCAAGCACATGGTCATCTGTCAAGTCCTAGATAATGACAAGATCATCTGCCATAAGTTCACAGGGATCTTTCTGAGAATAAATAAGACATTCTTTTCCAGAAAAAGAATCAGTATTTCGTAGGTCCATCTTCCATTCAAAATATGCTCAATTAACCACATTTATAAGCAAAGATTTGAACTGCTAGAGTTTGGAAAGTCTCTTATACGAATTTGAACACTAGAGACCTATCAACTGCAACATTTTTGGTAAATTTCACTTATTGGACGATGCCACTGCTAGTCAAGCCCTACCCACTTCTATATATATACACATATATACATTTATATATATCAACCTTAGGTAAGAGAAAGAGATTATAGCTTACCTCTTCCATCACGAGCTTCACAGACTCGCTTATGACATTCATAAGTCTGTCATCATCAACCCCACAGTCTCTAATCTCTTGCACAGGGACATCCCCTACGTCTGTTAGTACTCGCGGGTCATTTAGTTCCTTCCCTGCATTTTACATGCTCATTTTAACATTTAAAAGAGAAATTGACTGTTATCATCAAACGAAGATGGATACCCAAAAGCATCAGATGACTAGATTGGAAACTCCCTAATCCATGCATTATACAAGATTGGGAAATCAGAGGACAATACAAATAACTCAGATTCACAATGTTAGAAACGTCCTATGCAGAAACTGCTGTGTCGGTGTACATCCACATAGGTAATATCTTGTCCTAAGAACAAGCAGACAACACTGTAACAGATCCCAATTGATTGATCTCTAAAACATGATATTGACCCATTTTCCAGAATTAGTTGAGACTGTAGAATCACAAACATATTGAAGCACTTCACTTTGATTATGTAAATGACACAAACTAGAGGACTTCAGATACCTTCTTCAGTTGTCGAGTTTGTGCTACCACACCAGATCGCCTCCCTAATACGGGGAGGAGCAAAAGCCGGCCCTTGAAGGAAAGAAGAGTTGTGGCCAAGTGGAACTCCGAGGAGAGATGTTGAAGCTTTGGCTCCTCCTAGTTGACGCACAAGCTCACCCTAAGAGAAACACAAAGAGTTTTTAGCTTTCAAATGAGCACATCAACCAACACAAACGGAAAGAGAAATCTAGTCATAAGCTATTATTTAATCAAAGAACAAAAAATTCTATTATTTTCAACTGAATATCCCCTGAAGAAACATAATGATCAATTCGAGAAGTTACTTTGAGTTTTGCCCTTTCCCGAATGAGAGTCAACGAAGCATCAATGACACGGTTTTGGCCTTTCTCGATCAAAGCAGCTGGAACGCTTGCAGCGTTGAGCTTCTGAAAGTAATGAATTCCTCTCCGGCCAATCATTGACATTTCTGCATCATAGAATGTTTAAACAGATGCAGATAACAAGATTAAGAGAATTCTGATTTCATTGAATGAAACATCTGTACAGATTGAGCTTACGGGCTCAAGTGTTCATACATATACATTGCAACAGGAAACTAAAGAAAAAGATCCAGAATCCATTATAACCCTAAACCCGGGTCGGTAATGGTGTGGTCTCAGCACATTGAGCTCAAACGATCCATACACCGATAGCAGATTCGCATGTAAGACTACACAATCGTGCTCATATATGTAAACAAACACATAACCAAAGCAACAATCGTCTAGAACCAAGAATATTCCATGGATTGGCGAGAATATTATCATTTTTCGAGATTAAACTATTCAAAAAAAGATCCACGTAGAACAAAGAGATGAATCTCATTTGGGATTTAAAAAAACACTTAAATAAGCATATAATAATCTCAGATTCGCAAGAAAGTTCATGTCCCTATATATAGGCACACAACTAAAAATATAAGAAGGGTTTAACTAGGCCGACATAAGAAGGGCAAGCCAACAGTGAATCCGACAAATGATTCTACGGAATTCTCCAGAAATCGCGAAAAACGAAAATATAAACGAGCAAAATATCTAATAAGATGGCTTGATAAGATCCAAATCCACTCCAAGTTCAGTAGAAACAATATCAAATTCAACAGATCACGTAAAAACCAAACACGTCAGGGACAAACATCGAAGGCAGAAGCAGTTAGATGCCAAAGAGAGATCACAGAAAGCGAAGATGGAGACGAAATGATAAGTTGGGCAGTGAGAAAATGAGCCAAAGATGCCATAGCAGGGAATGACGTCGCAATTACCTGTGCTTCGACCAGAGAAGAAGAGAGATTGAAGTCTCGTGAAGAAAGACAGAGATTGAAGCCTTTCTTTCCGTTTATGTATTGGGTATGAAATTGCTTTTGGATTTGGAGATTTACGGTATTTTTTTTACTTATTTCGTTGTATCTATTTGCAAAATTAAAAGTTGATATATATTTTTTGTACATTTTTTATAAAAAATGGTTTTTCAGATTTTTTAATAGTAGATTTGTTTTGATTTAATTTGATATTCTATAAATATAACCGGTTTTTCGTCCGATTTTTTGTTCTCTCGATATTTTTTCCTTGTTCTTTCCCGAGATTTCGTCTTTGCTAATAGCAGGGACGTGTGCTTCGGTAATCGCTTCGAATTTGGGTTGGGAATGATTCAGTTCGATTTTTTCGATTTATAAAAATAAGTAACAATCAGTTATTATAATACATTTATTTTAGTTTCGGTTCTGGTTTTATTAAAAAAATAGATCTTAATAATTTTTCGATTTTTTATATTTTTTTAAAATTTTGATTCGATTCAGTTTGATTTTAAAATTTTATTTTTTTTTCTAAAATTAATATCATTTGGAAATTTTGAACGGATCGGATTAGAAAAAATATCGTATTTTTTTTTTTCAATACATCCACCTCTAGCTAATAGTGGATTGACCATGTTAGAGTTGAGTCCGAATCTGTTGGGACTGAAGTTTAGGGTTCCGGTTTATATCGTGAGATTTTCTTCGAGGAGAATCGATAACAGTATGATACTAGCAAAGCACGTATAAACTATCCATTTTCGATTTTTTTTTTTTTTTGCTTAAAAAAACTTATTAATCTCCCATCTCTTTACTTGAAATTAGAAAACGCTTTATTTTAAAAATAAAAAATAACCCAGTAAAAACACGAACCCAAAACCGGAAATATCGACCCTAATTGTTTTGGGCGAACTTCAGAGATACCCTTCTTGCGTCACATCTCTATCACCGATACACCCCTCAAAATGTAAAAAAAAACTATCAGATTATACACCCTAATTAAAGTAAAATGACATATATAACCTGAATAGAAAAATGACCAAAATACCCTAATGAATTAAAATTTAAAAACGTGCACTACACTTCAAATTCCATCATCTTCTCTCTCTTCCGTCGACATTTTTCTCCTGCTATGTTCTCTCTGTTTCATCGTCATTAAAGGTAAATCATCTCCAAATCTTAGTTTTTTTTCCAGTTTATTATGCAATCGAAGGCAAATTTCGGTGAAGATATAAGATTCAAGTAAGACCCAATGATTTTCGAGTATTATTATGTTGTTTTTTCTGTTATAGGGTTTGATATTATGAAATAAAAAAATACTATACACATTGCTGTAAAGAACGAAATTTTGGGAAAAATGATAAATGTTGATGTTTTTACAGGAATATGGATGATTATGAAGATTGTTATACATCTATTTGCATTCGGTACGGTGGTTTTTGGGAAAAGAATGAAGATGCAATATTTGAATGGAAAGGAGAGGAAGACAATCGGAAGACTATATGTGTCTGTAACAAAGCAAGTCAGGTGACATATGAGGAGCTTGTTCGATGTATATGTGATCAGCTTAAAATGGAATTAGCGACACCAAAATTAAGCTTTTTACCGATGGTCGTTGATGGAAAACAACCGGTATATATATTTGACGATATGGGTGTAAAATCCTTTTTGTTCAGCAAGACAAATGGGCGACGAGGATGGATATATGTCGAGCAAAAGGATGATGATGAATGCGTTGCATGTAATACGTGTGTAGGTGAAGCATCAGCTAAGGGTGGAGATATTGCAAATACCAAAGAAGGTAGAGATATAATTGAGACATGCGGTTTAGTTATGGATTGTGTGTTAGGAAGAGTAGATGGAGAAGATAGAGAACATAATCATGATACATTGTTTGGAGATTCTTGTCGGGTTGAGCATCAGACTTTGCATGAGGGCATACGACATGACAATGAAGTGGAACCTGTGACTAACGAAATTGGAGTTGAAATTACGACTCAGATGGGTAATATAGATGAAGCAGAGATATTTAATGAAGTTGAGAATGGTGGTCGAATACATGAGGGTGGTCGTGAAGATTTCTCATTTGAAGACAGAATGGGTTTTACGGTGGGTAAAGAGTTTCTGAAAAAGGTCGAGTTAACGATGAAAGTAAAGAAAGCTTCACATGATTCATGTTTTGAATACTACGTTTATAAGTCAGATCGACATGTATGGAAAGCAAGATGTCGATTCCGAGAAAAATGTTGCTTGTGGAAACTGCGGGCATTTAAAAAAAAGAATTCGCAGGGTTTTGTAGTGACGAAGCATGTTAACGTTCATACATGCTCTCCTGCACTTGAAGAAGAGAAAGAAAGAGTTGGAAGTATAGACATGGTTGTTAATTACTTGAACCGTCATTACGCGGGTCAAGTTGATCTTCCAAGAGTGAAAAGGGTGATGTCATTGGTATGTAAAGCTTATAAGCGCAAGATATCGTACCTAACGACATGGAGAGGGAGACAAAATGCGATTGATGGTGTTTGGGGAAACCCGAGCGAAAATTACAAGAGACTTCCAAGTATTTTCATATGTTGAAGGGAAGAAATGAAGGCACGGTTACACATATTCAACTTGAAGAAGACGAACAAACTTTTAAGTATGCCTTTTTTGCTTTGGGTGTTTGTATCAGAGGCTGGATTGCAATGCGAAAAGTAATCGCAGTAGACGCAACATCTTTGAAGACAGCTTATAAAGGATTTTTGATTGTTGCAACAGCCCAAGATGGAAATCGACATTTATATCCCCTTGCTTTTGCCGTAGTTGATTCAGAAAATGATGAATCTTGGAATTGGTTCATGATGAAGTTGGTTGAAATAATTCCGGATAGCGATGATATGGTTGTGATCTCGGATAGACATCAAAGCATAACGAATGCCGTCCGCAGTGTGTATAGGAGAGCTAAACACGCATATTGTGCATATCACATATCCCAGAACATCAAGACATTGGTGAACAAAGGAGTACGGGGTAAAAGGAAGAAACAAGGAGAAACTGTTGCTGAGTTATTCTATAAATGTGCAAAGTGTTATACAGAGAAGGAGTTCCAAGCATTATGGGAGGAATTCACTGAAAAGTATGAGTTTTGGAAATCTGATTTGTATTATTAGTTGTATAAATTCTTTTGACTTATTATAAGAAGTGACCATATTATGATTTCAAATGCAGGTTTCCTACAGTGGCTGAATATTTGAAGAAAAGTGTGGAACCTACGAAATGGGCGAGATGTTACTTTCCCGGAGAAAGGTATAACCTATTGACAACCAATGGTGCAGAGTCTATCAATTCTGTGTTGAAGAAGGCGAGAACACTACATTTGCTCGGTTTGATTAATGCGATTGTGAATAAAATGATGGAGTGGTGGTGTAAGCGCAGGAACCGAGCATTTTCAAGTACTCAGGAATTAACACCGTATGTTTCCAAGACACTGCATCAACTCCAAGAAACTGCATCAACGATATAGAACTTCGAAGGTATTTACTGTCAAGGAGATAAATCGGAATTAGAAGGAATATGAAGTGACTGATGACGAGGGAAAGACATATTTTGTTGATCTAGAGAAGAAGTGTTGCGAATGTAAGGTGTGTGTGACAACCCAGAGTACCGTAGGAGGGCGGGGAGTGATCGCCGGTGCAGAGGCACGGACAAGGGGCGGCTCCTGACGAGCTTCTGGGTAGGGGGTACAGGGATGAATCAAACACACCAGAATGAGAGAGATCCGAGGGCTATATAGGTATGGGACTATACAGTCTAAGATAGCATAAAAGAATTAGTTGAGCTACTCATAGCAACAAGGTGCACCTACCTTTTTGGTTGACTATCCCGAGAGAACTCCAAAGTTAAGCGTGCTGACTCTGGAGCAATCTCAGGATGGGTGACCTACTGGGAAGTGTCTCGGTATACGTGCGAGTGAGGACAAAACACGCTGAAAGGTCTCGGGTTGCTGTGTGGGGGCAGTTTCGACAATTCGTAGCGGTCACGGGTCGTTACAGTGTGAGACATTCAAAAATACCCATGCTGTCATGCAATAAAAGCGTTGCATGAACACGGTGAAAAAGATAAGCTACTTGACTATTGTTCACCATATTACACTAGAGCCACATGGGAATTGGCATATGTTGATTCTGTTTACCCAGTTTCATTCAAATCAGATTTACAGGACGAAGTCATCCTCGACTTCTTCCTTCGGCGTTTTTCTCTAACACTTGGTATCCTCTTCGTTGCTAATCTGCCAAGACCTCGATGTTTCATAGCAGGAGGGTTGACTCTTATCTCCGCTATATAGTTAGGAATACTCCAACGAGAAACATCAGAAACTGGGTAAACAGAATCAACATATGCCAATTCCCATGTGGCTCTAGTGTAATATGGTGAACAATAGTCAAGTAGCTTATCTTTTTCACCGTGTTCATGCAACGCTTTTATTGCATGACAGCATGGGTATTTTTGAATGTCTCACACTGTAACGACCCGTGACCGCTACGAATTGTCGAAACTGCCCCCACACAGCAACCCGAGACCTTTCAGCGTGTTTTGTCCTCACTCGCACGTATACCGAGACACTTCCCAGTAGGTCACCCATCCTGAGATTGCTCCAGAGTCAGCACGCTTAACTTTGGAGTTCTCTCGGGATAGTCAACCAAAAAGGTAGGTGCACCTTGTTGCTATGAGTAGCTCAACTAATTCTTTTATGCTATCTTAGACTGTATAGTCCCATACCTATATAGCCCTCGGATCTCTCTCATTCTGGTGTGTTCGATTCATCCCTGTACCCCCTACCCAGAAGCTCGTCAGGAGCCGCCCCTTGTCCGTGCCTCTGCACCAGCGATCACTCCCCGCCCTCCTA